CACACACACACACACACACAGATCGGCTTACGTTAAATCTGTCCTGTTTGTTCAATTTCGCGCGGAAAAAGTGGTCTCCACTGGTTCCGAGCGCGCGAGGACTTTCTCGTTGGTGGCGTCAGCGGAGGACGGCGAGGGATTTTGTTTTGTTTTTAGTAAGGTTTAACGGCGCTCACAACTGCATACGGTTCTATGAGCACCAGCAAGAGATTACCCTGTCTCTCACCAACAGCTTTTACGTTTAATTTTTTTTTTAATTGTTTGTTCGTTTTTTATTTGTCATATTTTTTGGTCTTGGAACTTTCTAATAAGATTAGATTTATTACATTTGTTTGTTTGTTTGTTTGTTTGTTTGTTTGTTTGTTTGTTTGTTTGTTTGTTTGTCCGAGTGAAGAGTAGCACACGACAGAAAAACGGCTGTTTAGTACGTACTGACAGACAGACAGACAGACAGACAGACAGACAGACAGACAGACAGACAGACAGACAAAAAGTCTAGCTAATACAGGAGTGCGACATACGTGTGGCACCCGCCAACCACCAGCGACTACAATCTTGCCCTATTTCTTTCTCCAGGACACACAGACTTACAGATAACCTTCTGAGACAAGACCCAGAAAAGAACGAAGAAGCAAACACGGTCAAGGAGGCTGGTCAGTAGTGGCCAGACACCCATCGGCTGGGTGATTTTGTCCTCGGGGAGTTTTTTCAGTTGAGTTTTAGTAAGTGTTTTACGGCACTTGCAACACAAGAAGGTCATGTAAATAAGTGCCGAAGATTAAAGAGGTGTAACAAGAGAGTAACAAACACAAAAAAGAAGAGGGGAGATAAAGACGATAGATGTTTGATAGGAAAGAAGGAGAAAACCACATCAGAGCACCCGCCAACCAACCACGCTGAGTATTTTTGTCCTTGGGGAGTTTGTTCGAGGAGTTAAAAAAAACAACAGCACATCGACGTAACAACGGCCATATAGTGCTGGGACAAGACAGACAGACAGACAGACAGACAGACAGACAGACAGACAGACAGACAGACAGACAGACAGACAGACAGACAGACAGACAGACAGACAG